CTTTTGACATCAGCAGTGTTATATTTGGAAACACTTTTACATTCAGGAATCTCTTATACATTTACAACCTTAGAAGACAGCAACAGAGACAAATCTATATTCAGTCAAACACACACACACACACACACACACATACTGAGGGGGAAAACAAGAGAAGACTCAAAGTAAACACTTTAACTAGGAGCATACCTCAATAAGTGAACATGATTTGCAGCAAGCCTAAGAATTAGTGTCACTAAATGGCGTACATTTTTGGAATCAGCACATCATTAGAAGGATAAACAAAATAAGCAGTCCAGAAGCAGAGCTTAAACTGTCGCTCAGTATACATGTGGGCGTGCAAACAAAGATAAAACTGGTTTCCTTACAGGAACACCCTCAACAGTTGTCCTAACAGGAGGAGGAACCAATGGAGTGGAAAAACAATAAATGCCTCGAATGAAAGGGAGAGACAGGCACCACAGGCTCTGAGCCCCACCGTCCCAGTCGTCGGGGGACAATCGCAGCTGCCCTTTAGACCATTTGCCGCAGGAAAGCAAAACCCTCTGCGGCGCCGGACAAAAGGCAGGGGGGAGTTGCTGCGGCGCAGGGGCACTAACCGAACCTTGGCGGGTCCAGGCTGGGCTGCCGAGCCGGAAAAAGCCCGTTCGCTGTTGCGGCCGGGAGGCGAGGAGGAGGATGCGAAGGCGGCGGGCCGGAGAGGGAGGCGGCGGTCGTGGGCCGACACACTGGGAGGAGGGCGGGCGCGCGGTTTCGTGCCATATTGGGTGTTATTGTGCCATAGTGAATGTTATTGTGATAATGCGAGGGCGGGGCCAGCTCGGGGTGTTTCGCTGCTGGTAAGGACAGCGCGAGCGAGGAAGTGAAGGAAAGAAGGAAGGAAGGAAGGAAGACGGAGGGAACAAACGGGGAGGAGGTTTGCATGGGGTGGGGGGAGTTGGGAAAGAGGAAACAAGAAGCAGGCGCGCCGGAGTCCCCGTCGCCAAGCAAAAACAGCAAGCCTGGGGACAACAGGAGGGGAAGGGAATCGGAGGGCCCTGGGAGGCAGCTCGGGCGAGACGAGCAGGAGGCTCGCCAAGGCCGCGCAGCTCCTTCGGCCACTGGCCTCCCCGCCCCCTCCGCCAACCTCTCTTCCCTCAGCGAGTCTCCAGAGCCCCCTGGAGCAGCAGCCATTACCTAACACTCGACTCCGCGGCAGCCTGCACTGACAGGAAAGGGGAAGCCAAAGAGCCGCCTCAGCGCCGGGCGCCTGTTCGCTCCCGAGGCAGCTCCAAGCGTCGCCCTCTCACCTCAGCGAGGTCCCACTCTCCGGCCCTCGCTGGCTCCGCCCCGCCTGGCTCCGCCCTCCCGAAGGAGCCCCTCCTTCAACTGTGTCAGTCGCGGCCATACTAGCTGAGGACCACCTCCACTGAGCGCGAGCCACGCCCCCGCTGACGCTACTCGGGCCTCGCGCAAACATTGAGGCCACGTGGGGCGGTGGATGATGGTTGAAGGGCCGGAGGCTGGGACGGAAGCCCTGGGTAAGCGGTGCGTTTTGCACGGCCGGATCAGTTGGGCTAGTTTTGGAGATCAGTTGCGAGAAATTTTTGGCGTTTGCGGGTTGCGGTTTTGGGCTACTTTTAAGGGCGTGTTGGACTATAAAAACTTTGAGCATCTGGCAACACTGCTGGTGCAGTCCACAGCAGGCTGCTGCCACAACAGCCTGAAGGTGCAGCAGCTTCTGGAATCTGCATTGAAACTGAATGCCAGCCTTCCATTGCACGGAGAAGAATTGTTATTGTTATTGTTATTTCTTCTGCGCAAAAGAGTTTGCTCCGTGAAATATGGCCAGTGGTAATAGATCTAGTTGACAGGATGCCCAGAGCCAGCATTGCAAGTTTCTATCCTCTATGTTCTACCAGGCTGTCTGGGATCACAAGCTTGTGTGGATGCTGGAGGACATGAAGACTATGGAGACTTTGTACTGGGAGGAGAACACTAACCTGAGGACGTATTCCCCTTCAGAAGCCCTGCTGTATGCTATGGTGCACAATCATCTTCGTGTCCAGTATCTGCTGTTTCAGTTTCCAGAGGAGGCTCTCAAAGTTGCTGGAGAGCATTTCTGGTGTTGTCCATCCTCTGATTCTCATTTAGCAATGGCTGTAACCTATGATGGGAGAGATATCCCTGGGCTATTCGTCAGCACTGCACACAAAATGCCTAGCCTGAACTCTTACATCAGTAGGACCAGCTGTTTTCATGTGGAAGATGGCAAGACCCCTCTGCATCTTGCCTGTGAGTTCCTGAGATCGGAGACTGTTCTCATCTTGCTAGGAAATGGAGCCTCTCCTAGGATAGAGGACAGCAAAGGGCTCACTCCACCAGATGTCATACTGGAACAGATGTGGGATTCCAAAGTCCTGGTTCAAGTTGCAGAAGGTCTTGCAGGAACATCCTGAACACTGGGCAGTGCTGCTTGGAGAGAACAAGTGGGCCCTGGTGGGGAACACGCCTGCATCCTTATACCTGCAAGCTATACAAACCATTCCTCCAGGTTCTCCCTCCCTCTCATTTTCCTAAAAGCATCCAGGAACTACCTGTACCTCAGGCACTGAAGCCCCTGCCTTGCTTGTGCAAACAGCGTCTGGCAAAAAATGAGGTAAACAATTTTCCATGATCTACTCTTTTTTTCAGTGTTCAAGTCAAAGATAGGTAATCAGGTAGGATTTTCAGGTTGCAAACCAAGCCCTGGTATAATTTTATTTATACTAAATAAAAGTACTCTTGGGTAAGTCATATAAGGATTGTTGCTTGTGAAACTTTGAAATCTGGACATGTATTTATCCCTGGTACCACTGAAAATCCTAGTAATATATTTTGTTCAACAGCTGTTGCTGTTGTTGTTGTTATTATTATTATTATTTCAATGGATTGCAAGCATTGGACTTTTAAAAGAAACAAAATCTATTTTGTTTTAGGCATGTGAAATTTTAAATTCCCTGAACTGTTTCCCATTTGTG